TTTTTAAATCACTTATCAAGACCAAAAGGATGTTGTGTTTTAAGGTAATACACTAAAACAGTGTAACGTCATTTATGGTTATACGACTAGAACAAAAAAGGGGTTGGTCTTGTTTAAGGATATCCACCGAGACTAAGAGATGCAATGCCCATCAACGTCATGCAATTATAACCAAAAATAGGGTTGTATTTTAAGGCCCTCCACCAAAAACTGGGACAGATAGTTTAACTTTTGTATCAAACATCCACATATAAACATACTCCACAAAAAGGAATACTAAAACCAAAAAGAATACGAAACAAAGAATATCAAACCATTGACAACAAAATATAAAGAAAAGAATCTCTAGTAAACTAAATAAACAGACCTCGTAGACAACTTCATGGCAATTCACAACTAAACAGTGAACAAATACATATTTATCCAACATCCAACCATCGACTATAAAAAAAAACTCATCAAAATATCAAATCAACATTAGGCAAATCTTTTCATAAGCTCGTCACCTAATTGCTTATTCAATGAAAATTGTATGCAATGTAAAAAGTGAGAATTTCCGTCTAAAGAACCATGATGAAATCTCTCTCAAAAGTAAATCCAGATCTCGTATTCAATTTTTGCACCATTTTATATTGAACTTGTGGCCGTATTGTAGATGTCTCACTTTTCATATCCATTGAAAGCCATTATAATGATAAATGGGTTTCAAATTTGAGAGAAATCCATATCTATTAGGAAGTGGTAAACGGCTCAAGGCTAACAATGCTAAAAGTAGCAAATAATGGAACTTATGAGAAGATCAAGAGACCTGTTTAAAAGGAGGACACGGTTTCGAATATCATAGAAACACAGGCATGGCAATAAAAATATTTTTTAAATATAATTTGATCCTAATTTTTAGAGAATATATAATCCTTAACATGGAGATAATGAATATGAAAAAAAACAAAAAATTGAAACCTAAAAATAATGATTATATTAAAAAAACATTTAGATCGTTAGTTACAATTGTTTTTAAACAGACCACCTATTTACATCCATCTTTAAGATGGATGCTTTATAACTCTGGATCGTATATTATAGAAATGCGGTCCAGCCCGCATAAAACAAGTTTCCTCAAAAAAAAATGCTAAGAGAGAAGGTTATATATTAAAATAATCTAACAACTGTTTGACTGCATTGTCTATTCTATACCTAATAATAGTGATGGTTTACGACTAATAAATTTCATTCAATACACAAATTTCAATCTCTATTCAATGAATTATGTATTTGCAAAGCTTCTATTTTGAATAGTAGAAAAAATTAAAATCAAAGGAGATCCATGAACATTCACCCAAAAAAAAAAAAAGGAGATCCATGAAAGTTAGTAAACAAATTTTTCTAGCTTTTATTGCTCCAATAATTTCGAAAGCTGGCTCCCAATTTGTCGCCCCTACAAGTAAGTCTGGAAATTAAAAATCCAAACTCCGTCAAAATTCCAATTAACAAAAATGTGATTATTTTTAAGTTTTCATTTCCTTATATTACCTCTTTTAAAATTATCTTAAAGATACCCAAATTGCCCTTTTTTTGCAACGGGAACCAATAATTTGATCCACTTGTCTACGCACCTAGTATGAAATTGATTTTTTTCCTAAATTTTTAAATCCTCAGGTATAGGAAATTACCCATAAAACCATAGGACATAAGCCTAGAACAACCGGTTTTATCCATAAGGACCATACTAGTCAAGTACACCACGATCCATAGTGAACTATAATCCATATTTAACCATAGCCTAGCCAAAAATTCTAAAACACACTCTAGATCCCATGAAATCCCAACCTTAGAAAACCCAATCGCTCATTAAAAGGTAAATTTTATAGTGAGTTGGATGCAAAATATTATGAAAACCGCCAAAATATGTGATGTTGATCAAAATTGGCAAGTTAATACCCTTAGAATCAAAATCCTTAGAAAATGTGTGAATAACTAATATGATTAGCTATTTGTGCCACAAATTGAGGTGCAAGAATGAGAAATCCAACGCCTCAAGGTGTGGCTTAGCCATATGTCAGTCTGGAGCTCATCCAGATTGACAACTTTCTAAATTTGAACATTTTTTGCCTATAAATAGCTTCATTTTTTACCCTCTTAGGGTCGGCCACTTACTAATAGAATGAAAACCCTAGGCTGACCATCAAACCCTAATCCGAAAATATAAGCCTCAGTTTTCGATGTAAGAGCCCTAAAACCCTAACTTGTCCCAACAATTATGAAAGTCCATAGTCATTAACCATAGGAATTCATTAGCCTACCCCATTACCTCATAACTTAGACTATGGATTTTTGGGGACTTTTCTCTCTGTTTATTCAAGGTTCGAATAAAGTGATTTCTAAAAAGATTTCGGGATTCATTCAATCAATCTTATTCTGATCAATTCTCCTATTCTGGATGCCAAGCAGGCAGGCCAGACGATTCGTAAGTTTTTTTTTTTTTTGGCATTTATTTCTTGTTTTGTTGCATATTAGTTCTTTATTTCTTGCTTTTATCCTAAGATGAAAATACTTTCTAGCAATTTAGTTCACTTAGCATAGTTTATTTGAGTTTTTTTCTTGATTTCAAAGCGACTTACAAGTGTCGCTGCGGACAATTCACAGAGAGTTCGATCTCGTTGCGAGATTGGATCACCTTTAGGTTCGATCTCTACAAGACCCCACACAATTTTAATTAATTGGTTTAGAGTGAATTTCATGCCAGACATAATGTAGAAATTGTACCGGATTCCATTGTAGACAACTTCAACAAGCAAAGTACTCTTGTCATTTTAGGTTGAGCAATTATTTAGGATATTTTTATTAATAAGTAACTAAGTGAAATGAAAATTATAAGCAAGTCCTCTAATATTAATTGGGAATTTTGACCCATGCATGTTTGATTTCTTTTTCCAATCCTATAGTATAACAGGGAAGTTTTGTAGTAAAGTGGATACGACGGTATCCACTTGCCTTATATTTAAGGCTAAGGACCAGTTTGGATGTAAAATAAAATGAAATTGTTATCTAACAAAAATACAATATTTTAAATAACAAATGCAAAAAATGCTAAGCTTGTTTTCTTTTTTTATAATGCGTTTGGGTGTTAAAATCTATTTTTCTCTCTGCGATTCTTTCCCTCAACAAGAAAGGGATAACTACGCAATTAACGATCTCTCTCTAACCTTGCTGCATGTTTCTCCCTCTAACCTTGATGCAACCACAAATTCACGAGGAGAATAATAGAGCAAACCTTAATGGTGAATTAAAGATCTCCTTGCTTCCCTTTTCTTTTCTCCCATTTAACAAGAGACCTAAGCTAGCAAACCCTAATGGTGAATTAAAGATCTCATTGCTTCTTTCTTTTCCTCTTCCCTTTGACAAGAGACCCAAGCTCATGTTATTGTTGTTCTTTTTCTCACATATTCTCTGTCTTATTTGAGCTTCCTCTTTAACCTCAGTTTTGGAGGTATGATGAGAATCTACCCCTAGTTTTAGAAAAGAGAGAGAGAGAGAGAGAATGAAGGAGCTTGGTCAATTCTCGAGAGAGACAAACAGGCTTTAGAGAGAGAGAGAGTAGATTTTGGGTTTATGAGGTAGAGAAAGAGACTTAACAGAAACTCGAGCCTGCAATAGAACTTCAGTTAGCAAACAGAAACTCGAGTGGTTGTTTCCTTCATAATTTCTTTGTGACAGTTGATTTTTCGTTGAAGATTTCGAGTTGAAGTAGTTTAGAGAGAGAAACCAGATTTGGGGTTATGAGGTTGAGAGAGAGTAGATTTGGGGTTTCTGATGTAGTGAAAGAGAGAGAGTAGATTTAGAGTTTATGAAGTAGAGAGAGAGACTAGATTTGGGGGTTTATGAGGTAGAGAAAGAGAGAGACTAGATTTGGAGTTTCCGAGGTTTCACGGTGTGGGTTGTTGGGTCACAAGATGGGGTTTGTACGGGTGAGAGAGCCGCACTTTCGTAAAAAAAAAGTCAAGACTTACAGTAACTTTTGCTTTGATACTGCAAAACTTTTTATTTCAATTTAAAAATCTAGTAAAATCTTGTGGTTATCCAAACGGTTCAAATCTATTTCACAAAAATTTTATATTGCAATTAAAAAATATTACAATTTTGAATACATCCAAACTAGCACTAAAATTTGGATATTGCCAATTCTACAAAGGACCATAGAACGTGGGATATCCATTTTCTGGGAGGCACGGGAATCAAACATTTCCTTCAAAATTGTACACCCTAAATGCTAATTTCCCAAATCACGCTAGCCTTTCCATTGTTCTCTTTTTTCTCTCAAGTAACGTAAGATTCGGATTTGTTAAACCCAGTTTGCTGAAGAGACAAACCCTCCATCCGCATTTGGTAACTTATCCAGCTCTCATTAATGGACAGGGATGTCATTCTCATCAAGGGACCATTTTATTATAGCTGAAAGACCTCGTGCTCTCGAGGGATCATGCTGTTCATTGTACTCTCTCAGGCAAAACTCAATCTCGACGCATTTTCGCAACCCTAAATTTCGGGAATATAACCTCTTCAGCCTATATCCCATAATCAATGAAACAAAATTTCCAAATCGCATTATCTATGGGCTTGAAAAAAAAAATATTGCCTCACGATTTAATAGAAACTTGTCAATTTCATGAGAGTAAGATCCAAGAGTTATAAAACTAAAAATTTAAACTTTTTATTTTGAATATAATCACATTCTGACTTTTCCGTGTTTCCTGAAATTTTGAATCAAAAAAATCTTCCCATATTAGTTTTCTACCTGAGGTAGTAAGTGTACAATGTATGATCCATGAAATTCAAAAAGTATAGCAACCCCGCATGTCAATGTTGAGTTCCATGTTGGAACTTTGAATAATATAAAATTCTAAGCGAAAGGGTCAGAACTGCCGTCTCAATAATTTTATAACCTCTCTCTTCTCTCTCTCTCCTAGAAAAAAAAAAAAAAAAAAGTAGGAAAAGGGCAGGAAAGGAGGCAGAGGAGAATAAAAAAAGGAATTAAACAAAAATTGTAGGAGAAGGCTGGTGATGAGTAAGAACATGGAGAAGAAGCTCTCTACTTCATGGTCCAGAGCGGCGGCGTAGGGATCTTCAATTTTGGGTTCCAGACCATGTTCCATCTTGATAATCCAAGGGCTACATTTTTTCTCTCCTCACTCTCTCTCTCTTTCCTTTGAGAAAGTATGATAAAATTAGTCAATTGTCTACGTATGTTGGAGTTCAATGAGCTCCTTCCTTATTTCTTCCTCGAACCAAGACTTATCCCACCTCCCACCCTGAAAGCACATAAATAAATAAATAATTACATTTTGAGGAGGCCAAATTTCAAATTCTCAACAAAGACTTACTATCCTTTTGAAAAGTTTACTTTATGTAATAAAATTATTTTCCTTTGGTACATGTTCTAAAATTATTTCCCTTTGGTACATGTTCTAAAATTATTTGCTTTTGGTGCATGTAGGAAAATTATTTGCTTTTGGTCCAAGTAGCTTGTACCAGGATCAAAGTCCTTCTCTACAACATTATCCCTCCAAACTGTCTGATTCATATATGACAGCTAGACTATGTACTATGCTCCCTACTCTATATTTACTCCATCTAATAGAAGACCAATTTAGGAAAAATCTCTTAGATTCAAAATTTTGGAAACCACTTAAAAATTATTAGATGATTACATTCCAAAGAAAATTTTTGAATTTTGAGTTTTCTAATGCTTATTTCTCACCCATCAATAATTGGACGGTTTCTATTCAATCTGGAGGCATTATTTTTTTCAGTTCCAAAAGAAATTCAATTTGAAAACTTTTGTGTTTAGTACAGCATATGGGTTGAAGAAATTACATCCCAAGGATTTGGGGTCCTAAAAAATCTTGTGCCCTAAGGAGTAAATAGATAGTACGCTCCCTTGAGAGTATGAAATCATTTGGCTACACCAAATGTAAATGGTATACACTCCTTTATTTTATTGAAAATTTACTTTTAGTGTTTTTAACAATTTTAACGTTAATCTTTCTAGAAGAATAAAGGAACAAGATTCATGTAGCCAACTTTTAATAATCAGAATAATACTTGGATGACAATGAAAATGAAACCTTAAAACTTTTCTCTTTTTTCTTTATAGGGGGAGGGGGGGGGAGGGGAATCAGGGAGGACATGGTCCTTTACCCGTGACAACTGGAACTTAAGAGTTAAGACATCACAATGTAGGACAGTACCCCCCTTGAACACCTTTTCTATAAGCCAGTTCTTAAATCAACACCCTATTTTGAGAGAAAATGCCTCGTAAAAATATTGATTTTTGTCGTACATCCTTGCCCACTTCCTATTTTTATAACTAGTTTCAATTTTTTCCACGAAAATTACAGTAAGATACCACTCAAATTATGATTCACAAAAGTGGGAAGCCTTTATTTTAGGTCTGAAATATATAAGTGAACCAAGTCTACTAAAATATTTAACACCGAATCTGACCCGGTCTCCAAAGGACCGACTCTGATTCGATTATCGAGTCTTCGATGTATGGATGCAAAAATATTTTAAAAAGAAAATTTTAAATATGGAGGATGGCCTACGCACCGGTCTGAATTCGAACGATGCCATCTTGGTAACAGTAATCTGAAATTTTTTAAAACACTGACCTGAACATTGAATCGGAAGATGGCTGTGTCGAATTGCGGTTGAACTTGGCTATCAGCTGATACCGATAATACGCGAAAACCCTCCATTCTCTTGAGGCGTTGCAAAATCCTCACTACCAAGTCCTCTAGCCCATGATGTTCCAGGACAACTCGCACTCTGAGCTCGATTTCACGATCATCTGCAGTTTCTGTAATTTCAACAGTTTCAATTTCTTGGCTCGCTACGAGAGCTGTCTCTGCGATGATCACTCCCCTTGATGATAAACGTGTTTCTAATGATATGTTCCTCTCGTTGAGCTCCTTGACTTGAACCTTTAGCTCCCCCAAGTACTCCCTCGTTCTTGATAAGATCGATGCTTTGTCTTTCTGCAAAACCATAACCCTTCAGTTGGTAGTACATTTGTAATTGCATGTACAAAAGTTTGGCTTTCAAATAAAGAGAAAAGGTTTGGCTTTCAATATTAAGAGAAAATGTTTGAACCAGTGTTCAATGACTCGACCGAGTAATTCTGTTCATGGATGAAGCGAGTTTCAGGGGACAACTCGCCTTTGTAAAAATCTATTAAAAAAAGTCCTTATTTTTGCCAAAAAATTCATATATTACTTAGAAATTCGTTTTATATGATTTATATTGTTTCTTTTTAGTATTGCATGGTCGAATTGTTCTTGTTTTTAATTTTGATTTTACTTCAAGTCGTGAAAATCAAAATTTTCAATCATCAATCTTCTAGACTTTGTAAACTTTTAATGATTTCTGCCACTTTACTTTTTACTATTTTAATTATTTTAACAATCTTACCTTTTTCAATTTGTAGGCGGTTTTTAACCAATGAGGCTGAGTCGCCTCAGGCAATTCCCAGTTACTTAACTCAGATCGAAGCCAAGTCTGAGGCTCAAGCCGAATTTATAAACATTGTCTCAGCTTATTTTAAGAGAGAGAGAGAGGCGGGGCAACGAAAATGGCGCAAGCTAGTTCATTTTCCAAAATTTAGTGGTCAAGCATAGTTATTATTTTTCTTTGGTAAGTCCAAGGGGAGGAGGAGTTCGTATTTATTTTTTAAGTAGATTTTAAATCTACTAGTTAGAAGTGAGATCAAGACTTTTAACTGAGACTCAAACGGTACTACCACCACGATTATAACCCCATTATCATTGATGACGCATAGTTTTTTTTTCAATAGAAAATACAGGTAATGGAGTGGGCTAGATTTTAAATCTATTAGTGAGAAATGAGGTCAAGATCTTTAACTAAGGCTCAAGCGGTACCACCACGATTATAACTCCATTCCCCAATGATGATGCATATTTTTTTTTTTCAATAAAAAATACATACCATGAAGTGGGATTGGAAGCTACAACGGGCAAAATCCAGCCCGTGCCCGTTTCTCAAATGAAGCATAGTTAATTTGGCGAAAATCCTACCATGATATATGTTGCATGCAAACCTACTCAACCTAGGGAGATCTACTACCAATCATGACTAACGATTTTTGATGTTGGATGTAGCACAGTATTTGTATACAGCTTATATCATTATGCAAACGCAAGCCCGTCTTCTAGGGGAGAAAAGGGCACAGTTGCAACAAAAAATATAGGTTTCACAAGGCCTGTTTCTTATTCTTTTACCCAAAAGAAGTTAATTTGAAAGAAAATGGATTAAAATCCTTTCGAACAACAATATTTAAAGAGTAGGACTTGAAATGGATCGGTGGCTGCTAACCTTTGAATCCAGAGGAAGCATGGCTCTCAATGCCTGAAAGAGCTCATTGAGCTTCTCCCTCCTCCTCCTCTCCGATATCACATGGTGCAGCTGTGTGCTGCTCGCTGGCCTCGTACCGGCAGCGGCACCCTCCTCCACTCTCTGCCTCACCTCTCGTATTCTCCGCAAAACCGCGATCGATCTCTTAAACAATCTTTGACTCACCCCAACTCTCCTCTCCGCCTTGACCCCGCCGCTACTGTTGTATCTTTGAAAGGCCCCAGGCCTCTGGCTAGGTCGAGATGCTCCCACTCGAGAAAGAGATGATGGTGATGACGAAACAACATCCAAAATTGCCCTTGTGATTATCGCTTCATACGATGTAGGAATGCCTCCTGGCAGCATTCTTGTCAGCGTGATGGAGTGGGCTGCTGGTGCAGGTATGGTCAAGTGTGGAGGAGTGATTGCTGCTGGGTTTGAGTACTCCGGGCTGCCTACGGATAGTGATGGCAGGGATGAGGAAGAGGATGAGGCTCGGCTCGGGTCAGCCCAGGGAGGAGGCTCACGCTGTTGGAATTGGCGGATGACGTCGTCGGTGATGAGATTCTTTGGGTTCATGTTCAAGTCGACCTGAAACAAGGCAAATTGCATTGCTGCTAAATTAGAAGGTGTTTTATCAGGTTTCTGTTATCTACTCTTTGTGGACGCCAGAATTGTTGTGAATGTGGCAAGAATGGGGAAAGATTCGATGAGAAGCCGAAGCCCGGCCTGGGTTTGGATCAGATTTCTCCAGATTCGGAGACAACGGGGTGGAAAGTTCTAAGTAGAGGAATGGAATGATTCAATGCTATAAATTTTTCTTCTAAACATTCAGATTTTGATTAGATGGGGAGGCTTGTGCCAGTTAGGAGCTGTCTATAATGGTTGTGTTTTCCTTACATTGGGGTTCGATGTGCCGAGCTCGATCACTCCGCTCTGGCAGCTCATGAAAAAGGCATTCTGTTTTTCCACAGAACAACAAAAGCCTCTTAATGTCACAATTTCTTCATGCAAAAATTGGAAGTAATTCAAGCACAGGTTCAGCAGATACACCAACCTCGATTCCTGCTCCCTGTAAACACAGTTCCAAAGAAGAAACAACATAAGGTAGCTGAACAATGTTATCAACTTCCGCAATATTACAGCAGCATAAGGGAGGAATAATGGTGGAACAGCAACACTAGTTTATGTGAAAATTGACCTGATAAAAACGCCTTTGGTTATCGGTAGAAGCCAAATTGATAAGACCCTCGCCTCCAAGCCACAGTCCGTCCTCCATTCCATGGCTATGAGCCAGTCCTGGAACACTACCACCAACACACAACAGAAAAACCCAATAACTTTCATCCAACAATTTTTCGCTTCAATCGTACCACAAACTGGAGAAATACACAAAAAAAATCTTCTCTCTTTCTCTCTCATTATGAGAATTTCATGTAGCTTACCCATTATCAAGACTGAGGAGAGATTGGCAATACGATTCAAAGAGTGTTCGAGGAAAGCTTCCCGAGGAGGAGCTGGGCTGGCCGCCCTCGTCGTTGAACCAGCCATCCATGAAGACCAAGCACCTGGGAATCCAAACAGATTTAGAAAGCAGGTAGGCTGGTTTGTGTGAGCTATGCTATGGAAATTTGGGCTTAAGCTTACTTAGATGGGTATAATTGACAAGCCCACAGGCAGATATAGGTCCACCCCAGCTTTCGAACCAGAGCTCTTATGAACAATGTCCTTGTATCAACGTCCATAAAGAACACATTGTCCATGCTGGATGTTTAGAGAGAGAGATGAATGCAGTTACAGGGGGGACATTGGGGTGCACGGCTCATAACGTCCCAATCTGTCATGTTCGTCAAGTTGTAGTTGTAGGACAGGGGAATAGGGGCCTCTGTTTTTTAATATTTTTTAGGGTCTTTTTTTTTTTTAACTCTGTATGTTAAGTGAGAGAGAGAGAGTAGAGAGAGACAGTAGAGAGAGAGGAGAGAGAAACAGTAGAGAGAGAGAGTTTTTCTTAAAGGGAATAAAGAGAGATTTGTCGAAGAAGACCAGATAGTGATGGTCGACGATGACCAGGGCAGCAGCCCTTGAAAAGTAGTCGTCAAAGTCGTTGCTTTTTATGTTTGAAATTCGTCAAACTTCGAATTCTGATCCAGATCCTCATTAGGGCCCCCCTCCCTCTCTCTCTCTACAATTAAGACCCCTTCTCTCTCTCTCTGCACATAGAGCCTCAGCCCGACAAGGGCTGGCAACCGGCATGTTCCAAATCGGTTTACGGCCTAAAAATTAAGGACCATGAAATGTTGCTCAAAGGCTGAGCCACCACAGCCCAAAGCCAAGGCTTGAGCTAGAGCGGCAACAGGGTACTCTGAGGCCGCGGCTAGGGCCTCTTTGACCTGGTTTATCCTGGGCCGGGACTGGGTCAGACCTATGGGGAATAGGCCGGGCTAAGATGACTTCCAAGGCCCACTATCGGCCTCACCGGTGACTGTTTTGCAAGACAAAAGAAGGTGTCCCTACGTGATGTAATAATAGCCGTCATTTGCCATCGCATGAATACCCTCCCGTTGCTTCTCCACGATAAACCTACAAATTCTTTGTCCTTTTTATGGTATATATTATATATAATATTTTATAATATTATATAGTATAATATTATATAGTAGAAAAGGAATAAATAAAGGGGAAAGTTTATATAGAGCCGAGGCTCTAAACAATCAAATTTGAGCCTACCTCAAAAAATTCACTAGAAAAAAATGCATAGACATGAGAAAAAAATAGATTTCAAGATTTGGAAATAGTGTATTTTGTAACGCATTTTTGGACCGTCAATTTACAAAATTTTCAAGCTTTCATAGATCTATCGATCTACACTATTTTTGAAGCTTTAAATTTTATAAATAACGATGAAAATGTATGTTAAGGCTATTACAAATATTTCCAGTATTAAAAGTATATTTTTTTATGCTATTTGAAGGTAGGCTCTAATTTGATTGTTTAGAACCTAAGCTCTATACAAACCGCACCATAAATAAATCGATAGTTACGGGAATATATACAATATTATAAGGGAAAAGATTATATAGAGCCGAGGCTCTAAACAATCAAATTTGAGCCTGCATCAAAAATTTCACTACAAGAAGTTGTTTTGATGCCTAAATATTCTCAAATTTATCATCTCAATATCAAGATGCATAAACATGAGAAAAAAAATGGATTTCAAGTTTTAAAAATAGTATATTTTGTAACGTATTTTTAGATGGCCAATTTTTAAGATTTTCAAGTTTTCATATATCTATCGACGCTATTTTTGAAGCTTTAAAGTTTATAAATAAAGATAAAAATATATTTTAAGGATATGACAAATATTTTCAATATTGAAACCACATTTCTCGATACTATTTGAAAGTAGGCTCTAATTTGATTGTTTAGAGCCTAGGCTCTATACAAACTGCACCCATATTATAATGTAATATATAAACTAATATATAGTATAATATAAAATAATGTTTTTTATATATCAAATAATACATATAAATGATATTTTAGTAATATTTAATAAATATTTTGAAATCCTAGCGACCAATAGTTACACAAAGAAAAACAAAATATTTCTTTTGTTATGTGTCTTTTGTTAAGTTCTTATTTTAAAATTAAAATTCAAATTAACTTTTTTCGGAAACAAAATTACACTGGTAATGGACAGGGATCGTTTGTCAATGATAATGGATGTAAACAAAATAATAATGGTGTAAATGTCCTGGCCTTCGCCTTCGCCTTCGCCTTACTAATACAATACAACTTTCAAGTGCATAAAATTCAACTGTGTTATTCGAATTTTTCAAAAAATTTGAATTAAAAGTCACTCACAATAGGTATACAATTCAACTCCATTACTTGCAATACCCTTTCAAGTCCATAAAATTCAACAGTATTATTCGATGGCTATGAAACTTCTTGCGACCTATTTGTTGTTTTTGTTTTTTGTCATCGTAGTTGGTTTCAATTCGTATTTTTTGTGGCATCTTAATCGGTTTCAATTCTTAGACCTCATTCACCTTCAATGTAAGACTTCTTTGTTCACCAAACCCAATACTCTCCTGTCCCGAACCCATTCTCAGGAAGTTGAAGTTAATGGCAAATTTAATAAAATAAGTAATACATTTTCTTTTAATGAGTATGTTATATTTTTGCGAAGGGTAACAATACTATGGTTTCTTTAAAAATGACATCTTTCAAAACTCCGGTGCTTTTAGGAAAGATCAATTTGAAAGGTGGGAAAAGTAACGCGTGGCTATTATTTTCCATGCCAAGTATTTGTCAATAAGCTTCTGTAGCACCGCTGGTGACGTTAAGATTAGGGATGGCAGTGGGCCACTGGCCCAGCCTTGCCCTAGAAACTAGGGGTGGCCCTAAAAAACGAGGGCCTGGGCAACTAAAAGTGGCACGACCGCGGGACTGGCATGCATTGGCTCGGCCCCAATCGTTTTTTTCCTTTATGTTTTTCTTTTAATTTTTTAAAACTTCATTTGGCCCACCTTTACCCGGGGCTTGATAGGGCTAGGACTCTATGGCCCGGTTAAGGCCAAGCCAGGCCTAAGCCGGCCTTAGGAAGAATAGGGCCGGACTAGGGCTAGGGCCATGGCTGGCCTAGCCCTCAGCCAGACCTAGCAAGGATGCAGGGTATAACCTGGATGCCAACTAACCTGAATGGTGCGCAGGGGCTGTTGTCAAACATTTTAGTTACGCGGTTGTGCAAACCAAGCAATGCATCAGGCCAACCATAATGGTGCGATCCAGGCAACCGAGCTAACTCATTGAATGATCGACGATTGAATGTCAAATGCTCACATCATGCTAGTCTTTGACTCGCTTAAGCGCACCACATAACTGAGCCAATGGTTAAAGTAGGTGACTCGGCGCAGTAAGCGACCGACTGTGTGTGATCATACTTTGAGAGTGTGACAATTTAGGTTAGGAACCTAAAGGTTAAATGTGAATTTAATTTTTGAAATCAAAAGGTTAAATGTGAATGATTGTGACTATTGACTATTTAATCATGCACATGCTTGAAGCGGGTGTTTCCAAACCTAGAATGGAGGGGTGAATCATTTACCCATTGATTCGTGTGAGATCGTTGGATCGACAGCTCAAATCGATATGAATTGGTGATCTCAAAAATATTAAAAAAATAAATGAAAAATTTAAATTAAAATAGGGGTTTATGAAATGGGGATTTATAGGGGAGAAAAGTTTATATAGATCCAAGGCTCTAAACAATCAACTTAAAGCCCACCTCAAAAATTGCACTAGAGGAGGTTGTTTTGATGCTCAAATATCTTCAAATTGATCAACTCGACATCAAGATGGATGGACATGAGAAAAAAGTGGATTTCAAGTTTTGAAAATAGTGCATCTTGTAACGTATTTTTTGGATAGTCAATTTTCAAGATTTTCAAGTTTTCATACGTCTACTCAATCTACACTATTTTTGAAGCTTTAAATTTTATAATTAAATATGAAAATATATTTCAAGATTATCACAAAGATTTCTAGTATTGAAACCGTATTTCTCGACCCTATTTGAAAGTGGGTTTTACTTTGATTGTTTAGAGCGTCAGCTTTACACAAACAGCACCTTTTAGAGGGAACCCAGAAAAATAGTAGATAAGCTTTAAAAAAATAAAATAAAAATAAAAAAATATAAAAATGGAGTTTTATGGGGAACTCGATTGGGGCCATACTCTTCTGGAATCGCTTCAATCCCCACCTATTTCCATCCAAATCGTCGATCAGATTTGGAACTCGCCATTGTTTGCGACTGATGAACAATTACGAATGGGATCAGCAGAGGAATGAAGAGCCACAGCCCTTTTAACTTCAAGTGCATCAAACATACATTTAACTTTTCACATGTTGACACGCAACACTGAAAGAGAGTCGGGATACCTGTAATGCTGCTGCATTATTATAAATCTAGGAGTTGAAACTCTCTTTTAAAACAAGCTCATTTATCTTTTAGTTAATTTTTCTCTAAAAACAAAGATAGTTTTGATACTCCAGACATATTTGCCTGTGAAACCTTTGTAAGTGGTATCGAAGAAAGTTCCCATTTAGAAGAATCTTCATAATTTACCTTGGAATACATTGTAGCATATTCATCGGCTCAGTTTATCATGTGTACTACCTATAAGTAATTATTGCACATGAAAAATAACTTGAAAGAGGAGATACATGCACACCGACACGGGTGCCGTACCTAGTCTGATCATTGAGTATCTAATATGCTGGTCAAAAAACCCCCACATTGATACATCCTAACATTTGCACAAAGGGAAAATTACAAAAAAGTCCCAAGAATAGACTTGTTGTGCAACTGACCCGGACCAAATTTTTTTTCTCACTTTTTATCTTAAGAAATACTTCCCAAAGTAAAAATATGTACTTTTTTTTAAAAAAAATTAATTTTGGCTGGACATTCACGTAGCCTTACACACAACACCAAAAGCTACATGAGTTGACAGACCGCTATGTACCAATTGCCCGACCCCGTTAAACTAAAAAAAGTATCGGACCGCATATAGATCTAGCATACCACATTTATAGATATGTTGGACTGCATATAAAGAAGTGTTGACCACCGTATATATCTACCGGACCGCATGTTTTTCCAGGAAAAGAAGTGTTGTACCGCCATAGGGATATGTCGGACCGCATTTTTTCTTGGAAAAAAGTGTCCGACCGCAATATACATTTGCCAGACTGCATGTTTATCCAAAAAGAATAGTGCTGGATCGCCATGTAC